AGAAGTAGACCGTAGCGTTAATATAGATAGAAATTGACAAAACAAAATGGTGATTGAAAACAAAACTTCGGCACCGGTGCGCATCGGTGCGAGATTTTTACATTCTTTCTGGCACCGATGCGCATCGATGCCCAGAAAAAATAATTATTCGGCACCGGTGCGCATCGGTGCCCGGAAAAAAAATTATTCGGCACCGGTGCGCACCCGTGCACAACCAGTGCCGATAAAATATTTTTTTGTAGGGTACATCTTCGTATTATCTATATAAAAACCCATGTTTCTTGATATCTCTTAGCAGAAATTGAACAAATATTATATTGATTGCCAAAAGTCTTATGAACTTCTCAAGCCGCTATGAAATAAATTTATTATTATTCATGAATAAATAAAAACATTTATAGTTGTCTAAATAACAAAACAAAATACAAATCGAACATATTCTAACTAATATCATTCTTAATTATTAATAATATTTTACACATTTACATAGTTCTAATATCTGAACGGTATCTTAAATAATAATAATTGGACTATTTTTCAACGAGTGATTCACTCTTTGTTGTTGGTGGTGTTGTTGTTGTTGTTGTTGGAGTATTTTTCTTTCCAAACGAAATATATTTTCCAAAAAAATATGCGCCACCGCCATCTTCTGATTGTGTATTTATTGTTGATTGTTGTTGCGAGTGAGATGATCGTCGTTCATTATCCCTACGAATATTTTTATCGACAGACTGCATAATACCAAAGCAGTAGTTAACAGATGCCATATTCTTAAATAAATATGTAGAAGACTTTTAAATAAAAGTAGACGAGCGTGTATAGTCTAATATAGTAAATTGAACTTTCTATTATGGCATCAAGTACAATCGGTATATGATAAGTTAATGTGTTATGTTTGGAGTTAGAGAAGAGATGTGTATAACTTGACATACTACCGTTTACTCTCTCCTTTTTTTTTTGCTCGTCAAGTACAGAATGGCAAGAAAAACATATGAGTAAGATATGTATCTGACTGTCATTTCTTTCTTTCATTTTATACTATTATATGTAGACTCTAGTCTTCTATATGTGCAATGCACATTGTACTTTAAGTATTTCCTCATCGATAAATATGAAAAATACTTTATTGGATGACATTCGCAGAATACTAAAGAATTTAGGATAAAGATGAATAAAAAAAAAATATCATGAAGTTTATAGAAAATGTTACATTACGTTTAGATATAAAATACTTAATGTATAGAAGTGTTGAATCGATCTTTATTAAAAAAAATTTCTCAAAAACTAAAATAAAATGGAAAAAAAGAAATGGAAAAATTATACATTGAATTAGAGACATAAACAGATTTAATATTGTAAAAATCATCTTATTAAAAATGGTGACATTTAATATTCTCCATCTAGTATAAACATAACTAAAATTCTCTTTTTTTTCTGTCAATTTATTAGTTTTACTAATATGTGTTAAAGTGTTGATCTGTTTTTCTGCAGTTTCACATATGTAGACAGAGAATCTATTTTATTTTGTTTTAGTTAATACAAAAACTACATACTTTTTTCTAAAAAATATGTAAACTTAAACGTTATGCCATGCAATTCATACCCTTTCTTTCACTAGTACGCCTATCATAACAAAAATTATTTGCTTTGGATAATTTTTGGAACTCTTTTTATTCAGTTGAACAGTTATTCTACTTAACTATTCTTGATTTATATAGGAATGTAAAAAGTGTTTAATTAAAATAAAAAAGATTTATAACATGACTGAAATGTGTTAGACCTACGAGTCTTGTAAACCTGACGCTTTTACAATTGTCTGTATTCTGTGCATGTAACTGAGGTTAAAAGAAAAATATATTTTACACTTAGTTAAATGAACAGAATGTCGTGATCATTGATGATAGATCAAAAAAATATTACCATGTGAATAAATTGGAGTGGATATTATCATATTTGAGGGCATCTGATGAATTTTTCTTATAACACATATAAATTGTGAATGTACATTTGACATGAACGAATTATTTACGATCAACTAATCAATGATTTATATCTAGTTATTTCTAATGAATACAGAATGATTAAAAAGCAAAAAATAATGCTGTAATCGATGTACAAGGATGATGTAATGATTTGAAGTTGTTAAAAAATTATTGAGGGACATTGAAGGTGAAAAAATGAAATCGTCCAATTTACAGTAGCAACCTTGAAATAAACATTTAATTGTACGATGAAATGAAACAGTCAACAGATTTGTTAAAAATATTTTCGTTTAGAAGACAATTGATAATGATTTTATTTTACATTTTAGATAATGTTTGATCGATTCAAGACAATTTTATTTGAACTTGTATAAAATAATATTTATATTCACACAATGTCGATCGACTTTTCAAATATACATGATATAACAGAAAAGGGGCAAAAGACATTTTTTTATCTACTATAAACATGATCTCCGTATAATCCGATTATGAATATTTATATCTTCGTTAGTCAGACATAAAAAGCCTTACATTAGTTTGGTTTAATAAAATAATAGAAAATTATGAAATATGATATTAATGAGAGAACATATTCAACAAATTCTGACATCATGAAGTTAAAATAATTTAATTACATCATATAGTAACAACAGTAATGGTATGAATCCAAAATATGTTTAATATTCCTATTTCTGTTTTGTTTCAGGTTGATTGTTTCATTCGTTTCAAATGGTAAACAAAATATTTTACTTAGCTATAGTCGAAAAAAGTTAAGACAAAGAGCGGTTTTGAATAAATGACAGAATACAGAGTATAAATACTATGGCGAAGAACATTTTGGATTAATTATAAACTTTGATCATACGTCAGAAAATAATATGACAAGAAAAAGAATTATTCCGATTATATATACCTACGTAGAAGGAATCCATCTGTTTGAAACGCAAAAATTATGGAGAGAGAGAGAGTGAAAACTTGAATAAAGTAAGATAAATATGATTGAAACATATCAGGTGTATCACCGCTGAATAAACATGTCCTTTAATATAATTATATACTCAATAATGTTCAATCAAATAGTTTTCTTCATTTAACGATCTTTCATAGCTTTGATATGTAAATAAACTTTTTCTATTGACTCTTCTTCTTCAATCTGTTTGGTCTGAACATAGTACATCAACATTATCAAAATCAAATGTATCTTCATGTGTTTGTCTTGACTAGTATATTAATTTTGTTTCTCTTTTGTAATGGTAAAAATATACTTTTTAATGTTAATGGTTTACGTGTATAAGGGGGCCTAATATCTTTCTAATATTATACAATGTGTTCTAATCATGTTTTTCTTACGTTATTCACGTTTTCACTCTCTCTCTCGACAGTTTTTCTTGTCATATTATTTCCTGACGACGGCGAAAGTATTCATCGAAAGTTTGATATATTCTCTCATTGATTTAGCATCCCTTTCGCCATAGGACAAAAAAAAACATTAGCAATTGTACACAGTTACATATACGAAGATCAATTTATTTTATTTTTTACTCATTTGTCATTGTAAAAAACAATAATTTTATCATTTTCGAGTAGACAATACTATTTATGATGTATTTCTTAAAGCAATTTGAAAAAGAATATATGACCAAATCTCTAAAACTCAAAACACCGAAGGTGATAAACGCATAAGATCGAAAATAAGAATAGCGAAAATCTGAAATGTAGAAAGTAAAAACGACGAAGTATAAAATGTCGAACGGTAAAAACAACAAAAAGTATCTCCAAAATATTTCTTGCTCATGATTTTCCAGATAGATCTGTGAATCTTTTTTGCACACTGTCATTTTGTTTCTGTGTGAAATATTTTGCCGCTCTGTTTGATGAGGTGACATAACAACTAGTATAGATCAGCTCGATCGATTTGTCTCTCAACTACGACAAATTCTTAGCATATCGTACTTTATTTACTTATTCATACTCATCTTCTCGCCTCCCCACCCTCCCCGACACACACATTTTATTGTGCTTATTCGGTGGTCGTTTTTACTAAACAATATTTTGAAAATATGAGTCCTCTTCCAAAACTCATATTTCCGTTATTTTTACCGTTTGACATTCAGCATTTTCCATATTTCAGGCTTTCGACATTTCGCCCTTTCATCATTTTTGTTTTCTACATTTTAGGTTTTCACCATTCTTCGACCTTTTTTTTTCGATGATATTTTTGCCTTAAACATGACATTCCTTCCTTTGAATCATAGCTTGGAAAATACACATTGGCCGAAAATTTGATATTCTAAAAAGTGAATTCGCATTCGCTGGGAATTTGTTTTCCTATACAATGGACGATCATAATGCGTATTGATGTATATGGTGCGCCTGCGAATTCTCTACTATTTTCTGACTAGTTTAGGTCTCCATCTCGGTCAGGTCACGATCAATTGCGACTTCTCTATTATTTTCTGACTGGCTCAGAGCACCATATGGATTTCTTATGATTTTTAGTTATATGTATTCAAACAGTCAGATGCTGATAGTCCCTAAATTTTTTATGTATTTCAGCTGTGTTTTCTATACCAGCTATTTTCGAAGAGTTTATTCAATGAATCCATATCTTTCTAAACATATACCTTCGTCCCGACACGAAGCGAATGTTTCGGGGGGGGGGGGGGGGGGGGGGGGGGCCGGGGCGTGGGCCCAAAATGGTAAAATAACC